TTTGTCTCCAACATAGTTTGCATCACAGAATCCTGCTAACCTGAAATTATTGTGTTTCTCATAAAATAGACTAAGGTTAGTAGAACCTGATAAATATTTGAATATTTGTTTCACATACTTTAAATGAGATTCTTCATGGTCAGATTGAAATCTAGCACAAAGACAAACATTGAACATAATGTTTGGTTTTCTTATAGTAAGGTAGAGTAGGGATCTAATCATGTCTCTATAAATTGTTTAATCTATAGATGTTCCAAATTCATCTTTTGTCAACCCCACAGATGGATTCATAGGTGTGGGCATTGACTTGCACTCATTCATCTTGAATTGTTTGAGAAGTTCCTTGATGTACTTATGTTGATGAGTATAGATCCCTTCATTTGTTAGCTTGATCTAAGGACCTAAGAAAAACTTTAGTTCTCCCATCATGATCATTTCAAACTCAGTCTATATTAATTATGAAAAATCCTTGCAAAGATATTCATTAGTAGCACCAAAGATAATGTCATCTATGTATATTTGCATAATAATAAAGTCAATCTAGACTTTCTTCTGAAAAGAGTTGTGTCAACTTTTCCTCTCTTAAAATCATTTTCAAGTAGGAAATTGCTTAATCTATCCTACCAAGCTCTAGGAGCTCGTTTCAAACCATAAAGAGCCTTTTTTCAATTTGAAACACATGGTTTTTGAACTCAGGATTTTCAAATCTTGGAGGTTGTTTGACATACACCTCTTCTTCAATGATTCCATTTAAAAAGGTGCTCTTTACGTCCATTTGATGAAGCTTTATGTTTTTTGAGCTGCAAAAGCTAACATAATTATAATAGCCTCAAGTTTGGAAACTATAGTAAAGGTTTCAGTGAAATCAATACCTTTTTGTTGATTATAGCTACTAATCTAGCTTTATTTCTTACCATTTGTTCTTACTCGTCAAGCTTGTTCTTGAAGACCCACTTAGTTCCAATAACACTTTGATGTGTTGGCTTGGGTACAAGGGTCCAAACATCATTTCTTTCAAATTGGTAAAGCTCTTCTTTCATTACAATGATTCAGTCATTGTTCTTTAATGCTTCCTCAATGCTTTTGGGCTTGATCTCATAAACGAGAGCATACGAGGCATTATTTTTTAGAGCTGATATGGTTCTTACTCCTTTGGCTTTATCTCCTAGGATGAGATCTTAAGGATGATGATTTATGAACTTTTAGTCTTTTTGAGGTCTACTTGCTTCGTTTGACTGGATCATCTGCTCTATCATCTAAGCTTTAACCTCTAGTTTTTTCATCTATTCACTAATATGAAAATCTACAAACTCATCTTCCAAATCTGATAGTTTCCTATCAGTCTTCAAAGCGTCATTAAATCTCACATTTACGGATTCTTCTACCACATTAGTTCTAGAGTTGCAAACTCTAGATGCTTTTGATGTTTTAGAATAACCAAGAAAAATACCCTTATCTATCTTGGAATCAAACTTCCCCAGTTGGTCCTTGGAATTCAGGATATAACATTCACAACCAAATGGGTGAAAGTATGATATGTTGGGTCTTCTTCCTCTCCATAATTCATAAGGAGTCTTATTTAGCAAAGGTCTGATCAACACTCTGTTTTGTATATAAATGGTTGTGTTTACTACTTTTGCCTAGAAATATTTTGGTAAATCATTTTCACGAAGAAGTGTTCTACCCATTTCTTGCAAGGTTCTATTATTTCTTTCAACTACCTTATTTTGTTGAGCTGTTTTTGGTGAAAAAAGTTGTGAGAGATGCCTTGATTTTTGCAAAAGGTTTTGAAATCATAGTTTTGAAATTTAGTTCCATGATCACTCCTTATAGAAATTATACAAAAATCTTTTTCATTTTGAACACATTTGTAGAATGTCTTAAAGACCTTATAAGACTAATGTTTATGGATAAGGAAGTATACCCATGTGAATCTAGCATAATCATCAACAATGACGAAGCCATACTTTTTAACTCCTAAAGTAAGTGTTCTAGTTGGACCAAACAAATCCATATGTAACAATTCAAGAGGTTTAGTGGTGAAAACTTCCTTTTTTGCTTTAAAAGAAGATTTCGTCTATTTCCCCCTTTGACACGCTTCATAAAGTAGATGAGTTTTCCATGAGATTTTAGGCAGTCCTCTTACTAATCCTCTTTTGGATAATTTTGAAATATGTTTCATATTGACGTGCCCAAGATTTTTGTGCCAAATAAATTTCTTTTCCTCTTTAGAAACTAGACAAGTTACATTTTATTTTATTTGCTCAAACTAGTTATATTAATTTCATAAAGGTTATTTTTCTATGAGCAGTAAAAAGTACAGATCCATCATTTCGTCTAACTATACATGAATCTTTACCAATAGAGATAGTATATCCACTATCACAAAATTGACTTATGCTAAGTAGATTATACTTTAATCCTTCTATATAAAGAACATTAGATACAATAGGTATAAAGTCTTTACCTATCTTACCTATACCTCTAATTTTTCCTTTTCCACTTTTGAAGGAGACAGATCCTTCATGTGGTTGAAGGTCTAGGAACATAGACCTTTCTCCTATCATGCGCCATGAGCATTCACTGTCCAAGTACCAGTGTGAATCCTTTGGCTTTCCCATCAAGGATATCTAAAACATAGACTATTTGAGATTTTGGTACCCACATTCTTTTGGGTCCTTTCTTGTTAGTTCCATTTCCCTTAGTTTTTCTCTTGCCTGAATTTTTATATTCATATCCACTGGCTTTCTGAGAGAGAACTTTGGGTTTGCTTTGAGGAGTCTTGAGACTTGAATCAAAACCAAGACCAGTTTTTGTCATATGGAATTCTTCTATGTTTTAGTAAAAGATTTAGTTTGGAAGATCCATCTACAAACCTAGTTAAGTCCTTCTTGAGTTATAAGTTTTCATTTTCAAGATTTCTATATCAGGAGGAAAAAAACTAATGATCTTGTTTTTGAGACATAATATCTCTTCAGCATTATCTGACATTTTTCTCTTGAGTTCAAGATTCTCTTTTTCAAGCATTTTGTATTTTTCTTTTAACTTCTTGTACTCAAGGGAAATCATGTGTGAGTTGGCTAAAAGTGTCTCAAAGGATATTTCATCATTGTCAAAATTAGATGAACAAGAGTTAGAGTTAGAGTTTACCTCTATGTTAGTTGCGTCTGACTTAATATTTGCCATGAGACAAATATTTGCAACTTCTTTGTCTGAGCTACTACTTTCACTGTCAAGATCTTCCTAGGTGGTCATCAAACTCCTTTTAATCTTATTTATGCTTGACCATTTTTTTCTAAGAAATGGACAATTTGATCTTAGGTGTCCTAGCTACTTGCATTCGAAGCAAACAAAATCTTTATCATCTAATTTGTTGGCCTTTCTTTCTTTTTCTTACTTCTTGTGTAGGTTTTTTAATCTCCCCTTCTTTTTCAGCATGCTTTTAAATTTTTTGGACATTAGGGAGATTTCATCATCTATTGAATCTTTTGGGGAATCACTTGATCGATCTGACTCACATTCAACTTTTAGCGTTTTTGCTCTTTCCTTTCTTACATTCAGCTCATTACTTTTCAAGTCAATGTTGTCTTTTGTCTTAGGTTGATATCTCTTATTCAAGTAAACCTCATGAACACAAAGTGCTCCAAGAATTTCATCAAGAGTGAGAACTTTTAGATCTTGTGCTTTAGAAATGGTAGTGGCTTTGGGTTCCCAAATTTTAGAAAGACTGTCCAGGATTTTGAGATTGTTCTAAGCTTTGGTAAACTCAGTTCCCTGGGATTTAAACCCACTTAGAATTGCTTGGAACCTTCCAAACATTTCATCAATGTTCTCATGTTTTTTTTCATAGAAAACAACTTATAGTGCCTCTAAAGAGTGATAATTCGTCCGAGTCTGACATCCTCAGTGCCCTCATGAGTTACCTATTAAGTCAGACGAAGACGAAAGAAATTTTCAGCAAGGATTTGAATGAGACAAATATAAAACATATTGTTATTACTAACAAGTGTGTTAGTATTTCAAATATAGGTACAGGTAAGCCGAAGAATATAGAATATACATCTATACCAGAATCAAGAGATATGAGTCAAACATTGGATAAAGGCTGAGTAAACGAAGGAAATACATCAGACGAAGACACCTACACAAAGGAATAAAGAACAGGACACGAACAACTGAGAAGAAGGACAAAAGCTAACAAGACATCAGACCTTGGACGATGGGCAAATCCTAGCAAGAGCACCCTAGACAGAGACTTGAATACACAGACAATGGTCAAGAAAGCTGTATTGCGTCTGAAGACACAACGAGACGTACTATCTAGCACCCATACTTCCAGAAGAACACATGAAGATATCAAAATAGAAGAAGGAAGATAAGAAAAATGGACAAGCGCTTATCCACAAATTAAAATAGCGTGTGTCAGAACAAGTACACCTACTTTCCAGGAAAAGACAACACCTCTGTAGCAACAGTACCAAGAAAGTACAAAAGATCTCGAGAAGTACAGATTTGGCAAGCAAACATTAAATGCTAAGTCAGAAGCATTAATGCAATAATCCATAAAGATTGTGCAAACTAGATAAAGGAATTAGATGATGGTTAGTCAAGTATCAAAATGAAGTCTGCTCACGGACGGAAGAGAACTATCATCAGAGTGAGACACTAAAATATCAGACGAAGCCTATAAGGAATAATCAAGGCAAGACATGAACCAGACAAGTTGAGACAGATGAAGTAAGTGATGTAGGAAACCGAACGTCAAGAGAAGAATAATTGGAACACAAGTATGCGCTAGACGATCATAAAATACTCAGACAAAGACGTGTTTAGTACAACTATCATAAAGCACAAATTAGACGAGGCATATGTCTAAGATCAAAAGAAAGTCAACCATGCATCAAACGAAGGACAACACAGACTGAGAGACACTCCAAATAGAAATAATGTTTGTCTACTCACATTGTTAATCAGACCAAAGAAAAGTTCAAGCATTGAACTCAGACGTTGAGGCAAAAGTCAAGATTGAAATGCACAGGACCAACAGACGGAGATGAAGACTGCCACACAAACAAATAAAGAATCATGCCTCAAGAAACAAGCCAAGATATCATCTATGAACACACCAAAGCTTTCAACATAAAATGCGTATGAAGGAACAAAAAAAAAAGAAGCATGAAAAAGTAGAGCATACATGTGTTAGAAAAAGAGATTACTTTTTCAGAAAAGGACAATGGCTATATTGCTGCATGACAAAAAAAAAGACAACTAATTTTTAGGTATCAGATAAAGTCAAACACTACAGCAACAGGACAGAGAAGAATACACGCAATGTCTAAGTAAAACAACTAAAAATCCAATACCGGAACGGGCCGTTCCAATACCAGAACGGG